GAGGTCAGCAGTCTAGTGCTTACCCTACAGCACCGCAGCAGAACACTAAGGAAGGACTATTTAGAATAGAGGGTCTGAGACATGATCTCCAAGGGCGTAACCATTTACACTGAGACCTGAATGACAAGCAAGAATCATCTTTGGGGAGACGTGTGGCAGACTAAGGGACCCAGGTAGCACAGCGGTTTAGCACTCAGTGGCAACCCAAAATGTCGACAGTTGGAACTCACCAAGCACTCCTTGAGAGCAAGATGTGGCAGTCTGCGTCTGTAAAGATTACAGCCTTGGAAACCCTGTGGGACAGTTCACTGTTGTACAGGGTCACCATGTGTCTGAATTGACTCTGTGGCAATGGGTTTATGGGGCCAGAGTATTCCAGAGAAAAATCAGTGTAAAGGTCGTAAGCAGAATAGACTGGCCTATGTAAAGAACACAGAAAAGAGCTGAGAGGCACAAGATGATTTTGGAGAGTAAACAGGAGCTAGAGTATGTAGCGCCTTGTTGGTATAGTTAGGAGTGTTTTGTTTTAATTTAAAATGTCATGGAGACTTCTGGCAAGATGGCCGGCTAGGCAGACAACGCTGCATGGACCTTTTATGACAGCGATCCGAGGGATGACATGAAACAAACACAGAGGAAGAGCCTGGCACCCTGAACTTCAGAGGAAAGGTTAGAGACCTGGACCCAGTGCTGGGAGGAGCAGGGATGGAAAGAGAGAGAGACTGGTGAACTGCCAACCACATGTGGAGCAACAGAACAGTTTCGCACAGCCCATGGGAAAGATGTGATTCCTTCTTTGGCCCCACACTTCCCTTGTGATCAGAGGTGTGAACCGCTCCCGCCCACCTCTACTCACAGCGCAGAACCTGTCCTCTGGGAGTTTAGAGCTGCTAGGTTGGAAACCATGCTGGTGCCTGGATTCAGGTGGGCTCAGCTCCATACCTACAGAATGCTTCCCGTCACCTGACCAGCACTAGTCTCCGCAGAAACCTTCATAAGCAGCCACCCTGCCCCCAGCTGCCTTGTGGTCCTAACAGAGACTGATAACCAGCTTCATCAACGACCTCCACGAACTCCTTCTAGATTGAGTAACCTGAACAGAGACAACACCTAAGCCTCTAGGAACTCCCTCTAAGGCCAAGAACTCTGCTGTCACATCCCACCTACACCCACCTCGTGAGCTCCTTGGTTGGCAAAAGCCCCCAAAGTTTTCCTCTCCAGGTCTAACAGCTCTACTGGTGATTTTTGGGTTTTTTTGTTTTGTTTTGTTTTGTTTTCCTTTCATTGTTTTTGTTTGTTTAGTATTTCTTCTCCTTCTTATCTTTCCATTCTTTTGAACTTTATCCTTCCTTTCTCTACTTTTGTTTTTCCTTCTTTTCTTTTGTTTCTCATTTTCCTCGTCTTTTTTTCCCTTACTACTCTCTACTTTCTTTCTCTTTTCATCTTCCTTCTCCCTGGTTTTTCTAAGTGGTTTTTTTTTTTTTTTAATTTTTTGCTTTATTTTCTCTTTTATATAACTCATTGGAGACCTGGTATAGCACTGTGGGCTAGACTGCAAAGTTGGTTTGAACTGCAAGGTTGGTGGTTTAAGCTTACCAGCTGCTCTTAGGAAACCCTGTACAGGGTCACTGTGGGTTGGAACCGACTCAGCAGCTCTTAACAACAAATATAACTCATTTTCCTGTTTTCTGTCTTTAGTTGTAGGATTTTTTATTTCTGGATTCTGGTTTTGTTTTTTTGTTCTTTCATTGTTGGTTGCTCATTTTTTAAATTATTTTGTTTTCTTGTAAGTGTGTTTATGGGGAGGGGGCGGTGTGTTTCTCCTCTTTCCCACCTGGCAGGAGACAGAAATCATACAGCCCAGCCACAACCGTGCCCTGTGTAGCTCCACCCATTGGGCAGTAGCCAGTATCAGTTCCTATACCACCTGACCAGTGACAG